TTTTTTTTTTTTTTTTTTTTTTTACGGACTGACCTATGGCCTCCGACGAAAACCGAGAAGAGACAGCCACGCGAACCGCCTCTCATGCCTCGCATGAAAAATTCGCCGTTGCGAGTTTCCTTTTCACCGCGAGGAGGAAAACGCGAGACTGATAAATCCACGTACGTGCTCGGGCGAGAAGGGGCGAAATAAAACGTGCGCTCGCGCGGCCACGCGGTTGACAAAGTGACCGTCAGAAGCTGAAATAGCGGAAATGGCGAATTCGCGAAAGAGGAAACCCCGGCCGAAGTATTTCGCAAACTCGTTTCACGAAACGAGTGACGCGTCGGCATTTCGCGAAATTGTCGGCGTGGCAAATTTTGTTTCCATGTGCATCGCCGGGACGCTCTTTACATCGTGCTGACAAGTGCAGCACAAATTATTTTGTCCTCGTGCTAAATGCATAAATATACTCCCCTCGTAATACGATCATCCCCTCCCTCCCCCCCCCTCCCCCGTGATGCGGCCACGGTTTCGTGCTTGCAATTGCCGCCGCGCGAACGTACTTGTTTATGATGAGCCGCGAGGAGATATTTAATGACGTTAATTGCGTACGTCGCGGTTATTGGCTACAAGGGAAATATTTTCATATTAACTATTATCGTATAGGTGTTTTAATAATCAACGCCCGAAGCGTGTAATCGAGATTGCTCGCTATTAATATTGCAAAATTAATTAAATATATATGCCGCATCAATAAATTATTATTTAAGAATTTCCATATTAACTCTGGAAGGTAATTCTAAATGATGAAATAGTGTTATCTAAATGATAAATATAATATATATTTGAAATTCTAAATGATGAATTCTAATGATGAAATTTAATGACGAGAATTTATCGAGATTTGTCGTTAAAATTGAAATCGGAAATTTCTGAGTCTGTATATTTATCTCTCTAAATCCGAAAATCCTCTTCAATTAACCCCTTTATCAGGCAATAATTCCGAATAAAAAAATCGCTAAAGAAACATCTTAAAGTTTATCTCATTTTTCTGTTTTTTGAAATTGTATTTTATAAAAAACAGATTTTATTAAAATGAAATCTGCTTGAAATTGACTTTGTTGCCTATTGTTTTCCTGAAATTTGATTAATTGGAGATTCCTTATGGGATCGCTGCTAATAATCCATCGCTAATTATTTAGAAACTCTCGGTTGCACAAACATTATTTTGACTTTAAGGAAGCTCTAAAACTTTATTGTACACAGAAAAAAATTAAACAAATATTCCCGTATATAAGCAAAAATGTTATAATCTTAAAAATTTTAGTCTTGATTTGATTGAATTTGTATTGTAACTATTACCTTTGCTCAACTCAATGCTTAAAAATCTTTTTTACGAAGATTAAAATATTTATGTTTATGTATGAAAATATATGAGCTTGATTTAAAATTAACTTTTTTTTGTGTGCCAAGCAAAAGAGAAACCAAAAGTGTTTTAATTTACGCTTAAAGTGTGCAAATTGAAGCACACTTTAGGTTCCGCTTTCGCTTTGCTACAAATTTAAAATTTTAAGGCTCATTTAAAGCTAAAATACCGTCGGTGTAATCGAGCCCAAGTGCCTTGATATATTTTTATAAAAAAAAAATACTATTTTAAATCCGGCAAGAAATTGACAAATAAAAAAGATATTCGTTCGAACAAGACAGACCTCCTCTCTCCCTGATGTTCCAAAAATAAAATAAATCGTTGATTAAACATTTTTCCAAATTACACAGCGAGTCCCGAGTGAAGAAAAGAATTATTGGATAATAATAATTTCTTAGGAGTAACTCGTATGTGTCACGACAATCGGAAGCGATCGTCTGAGTCAGTTTAATCGGAATCACGCACCACATCATCAAAAAGGATATTTGTCACGGCCGAGTTGTCACTTTTTTCACGTGCCAATCCTTTATCCTTCCTTGTCTGCGAGCGTAAGACCCCCCCTCCCCCCGCACGTAAGACCACCTTCTTGCCCTTCGATGTCACCTCCTATACCGCATCGCCGTCACGAAATTGTATCACATTACCGCGGAAACCACTTCTACACCTCGGAAAAATTCGATCGAAAACACTCTCAAAATGTTACCGATACATCGATAACACGTGATCACACGATATAACGTATAAAGAAAAGATGCTCCATTAATCGCCTCGTAGGAAAAAGGGGAAAGAGAAACAACGCACAAAAATAAAGCCTGATATAAAATTCAATAAAATTCAAAATTCCACCCGCGACGGTTTCTTCCGCGATCAGGGAGAAAAGCGGCGTTTCTCTCGTGGCGAAAAATAAGATCGAGGATAAAAACCATTTGCGATTTGTTCGTGGACGTGCCGACGTGCCGCCGTTCGATAGGGGGACTACTACTTTTGAAGGTAGAAGCATCTGGCGGCCGACCGAAAAGAAGACAGCGGCAGGAAGCGCAGCGGTCGACGTTCCACCGGCGACTGAAAGCTTTTGCAGCGTGAAAACGAGGAGAGTCTATGACTCTGTGTGCGTACGGGCCGAGTGCTACACGCACTCGGCCCGTGCATCTCGTCAACTCTTTCCAGGAACAGATTTCGATGCGAGAGGGTCGATCGCATCAGGATTGCATCAGGTATAAGGCGAGGGATGCGCGTCGCAGCGAGAGACCCCGTCCTTATATTCTCCTCCTTTCTCTCTCTCTCTCTCTCTCTCTCTCTCTCTCTCTCTCTCTCTCTCTCTCGTCGTCGTCGTACGTACGTACGTACGTACGTAC